ACCTCGGGGGTATATCAACTCTCCAGCCCTATGTCACAATTTAGTTTGCCGGGATCTTAATTACCTTTCCCTTCCACAAGACACTACCCTGGTCCATTACATTGATGACATTATGCTGATTGGGCCTAGTGAGCATGACGTAGCAACTGCTCCAGACTTATTGGTAAGACATTTGCATGTCGGAGGATGGGAAAAAAATCTGACTAAAATTTGGGCACCTTCTAGGTCAATTAAATTTCTAGGGGTTCAATGGTGTGGGGCATGTCAATATATCCCTTCTAAGGTGAAGGGTAAGTTGTTGCATCTGGCCCCTCCTACAACCAAGAAGGAGGCACAATGCCCAGTGGGCCTGTGGATTGTGGAGGCTACACATTCTTCATTTTGGTATATTACTCTGACCCATCTACTGAATGACCCAAAAGGCTGCTAGTTTTGTGTAGGGCCCAGAACAGGAGAAGGCCCAGCAATAGGTCCAGGCTGCTGTGCAAGTTGCTCTGCCCCTTGGGCCACATGATCCAGCAGACCCAGTGGTCCTTGAGGTGTCAGTGGCAGATAAGCATGCTCTGTGGAGCCTTTGGCAAGCCCCCATGATGAATCACAGCAAGGAACAATACTGAGCCCCCATGATGGCACCATTCCCCGAGGTGATCAGCTGGATACCTCGTGCAGGCTGATTACATTGGACCACTTCCATCACGGAAGGGGCAGTATTTCATCCTTACTGGAATAGACACTTATTTTGGATATGGATTTGCCTTCCCTGCATGAAATGCCTCTGCAAAAACTATCATCAGTGGACTCACAGATACCTTATTCACCATCATGGTATCCACACAGCATTGCTTCTGACCAAGGACCTCACTTCATAGCTAAAGAAGAGTGGCAATGGGCTCATGCTCATGAATTCACTGGTCTTACCATGTTCCCCATCATCCTGAAGCAGCCAGTCTGGTAGAATGCTGGAATGGCCTTTTGAAGTCACAGTTGCGGCACTAGCTAGGTGACGGTACCCTTAAGGGCTGGGGCAAGGTTCTCCAGAAGGCTGTACATGCTCTGTATCAGCACCTAATATATGGTGCTGTTTCTCTCATAGCCAGGATTAGTGCACGGGTCTAGGAATCAAGGGGTAGAAATGGAAGTGGCACCACTTACCATTACCCCTTGTGTCCCACTAGCAAAATTTCTGTTTTCTGCATGACTTTATGCTCTGCTGGTTTAGGGGTTTTGGTTCCAGAGGGAGAAATGCTTCCATCAGGAGACACAATGATGATCTCATTGGACTGGAAGTTAAGGCTGCCACCTGGCTTCTCATGCCTCTGAGTCAACAGGCGAAGAAAGGAGTGACAGTGTCGTCTGGGGTGGTTGACCCAGACTACCGAGGGGAAGATGGACACTACTCCACAATGGAGGTGAGGAAGATTATATCTGGAATACAGGAGATCCCTTAGGACGTCTCCTAGTACTACCATGCCCTGTGATTAAGGTCAATGGAAAATTACAACACCCCAATTTGGGCAAGACCACAAGTGTCCCAGACTCTTCAGGGATGAAGGTTTGGGTCACTTAGCCAGGTAAAGAAACATGACCAGATGAGGTTGTC